CCCAGGGGTTGCTTGGGCTACATAGTTTGAGACAAGTTGGGATACCATAGCAAGGCTCCCATTTCTTTAAAAAAAATGTATATCAGCCGGGCTTGGTGGCTCAGCCTGTAATCCCGCGCCTTTGGGAGGCTGAGGTGAGTGGATTGCCTGAGCCCGCGGGTTCGAGACCCGCCCAGGCGAGACCTCATCTCTACAATAAATCAAAAAAACTAGCCGGGCATGGTGGCACGTGCCTGTAATTCCGGCTACTTGGAAGGCTGAGGCGGAAGGATCGCCAGAGCCCAGCAGGTCGAGGCTGTGGTGGCCGGGAGCGGCCACTGCACTCTAGTCTGGGGGACAGAGTGAGACTCCAACTCAAAAAAATAAAAAAGTATATCTATATTTATAAAATATATGTATATAAAGCCAGCTTAGCAACCTAAAGGGATAATATAACCTAGGCGTTGAGCGTTTTAATGATAACAACTTGAACAATTTCTTTGAAAAAGGTCCCACAGCAGATATCTTACTGGGCGTAGTGGGCTTAGAGATTGAGCTTCATGATGAACATTTTTCAGTGGTCATGTTTTCAGAACTTTTTCAGTTGAAGTCAGTTTAATTGAGAAACTAAAATAAGAGTGGTCTGGTGACACTTTTGGTTAGAGTGAATAGAGAGAATAGAACTTGGAACTCTTGATTCCTGTCATTCTGTGTCTTTTGGAGAACTTCTGTGCTAAGACATGGGATTTCCTGCCTAGCAACACAGTCCCTGCCTTGCATTTTGTCATTTGTTACCCTGTCTTCATGGTGTAGCCACTGACTTTTCCAAACTTAGTTTGTTTTGCACCAAGTTCTGCTTTACAGGAATACTTCTTTGGCTTTTAATACTGTAGTATTGCTAACACCTTTTCTTTTAGTAAATGATTTTATTTTTGGCTAATTATGTTTTAAATGCTTTTTGAGAACCTATCATTAATTTTGTGATTTCTTTATTGACTTCGAATGATGTTTGTAAATATTTATTTATTTATTTATTTAGAGTCAGCGTCTCACCGAGCTACCCAGGGTGGAATACATGACTCACTGTAGCCTCAAACTCCTGGGCTTAGGTGATCCTCCTGCATCAGCCTTTCTGGTAGCTAGGGATACCACATCTGGTTAATTTTTTTTTTTTTTGAGTTGGAGTCTCACTCTGTCGCCCAGCCTGGAGTGCAGTGGCCGCTCCCGGCCACCGCAGCCTC